ATGAATTTAGTAGACATAAGAAGTGTTTTATTCGTCAAGCCTTGATGGAGAAAGTGTTTCGTCAGGGTGTGAATGAAAAAGGGACGGGATGGGGTTACGGGGGGTTTGGATTATTTTTTGTTTAATTTATAAACATTAACTACAACATTTTCAGAATTAAGCAAGTATTTACATGTGAAATTATCAGGATTTCTTTGTTGCAAGCTACATTGTAGCATTGGAAGGTGGTAAACAATCTGATTCGTAAACTACTGGTTCCATCATGTATGTTTTTCATTAAGTAATGTATGAAACAAATACTCAACACCAAATTAAATTATTAAATTAAATTATATTATTATTTCATAATAATGGAATATATATATATATATATATATATATATATATTATTGATATTATTTTAATATTTTGACAAACATCATGAATTGAAGCAAGAAGATCATTTTTTTTAAACAAGACATGAACCGCTTCGTATCTTTTGAATAACTTCAAGGTTATTTTCTTCATTCAATAAAGAGAGTCCGTACCATGGTGCTATGGTCTAGAAAATTACTTTTTAAAACATATTTCTAAAGCAATTGTAATGTCGACACGCACGTTATTGTTTGATTCTTTAAAGTTGTTTGACTATTTTGTACACGATTTGATTGACGTTGTGTGAATATACTTCATCATATAGTGCAAATGATCTTCTGTTGGCGTCAATTTTTTTGAAGATTCAATAACCACGACTATTTATAACATGTACTCAACCGGAATCTGTATAAGTTCTGACCCGCTTCACTGCCAGACGGCAAGAGGATTGTTGTCCAAATCTTTTTCAACAAGTCATGAAACAGTTTAGTATTATTTGAATTAATTCAAGGCTATTTCCTTTATTTATGTATACACTTTAATGTTTGTTCAACTATTTTGTACACGATTTTGAATGATTTCATAAATAAGTTTTAGATTTACTTTACTACAAAGAACCGACCATTATTTTATAGCTATACTCTTTGTTTATTCTGAAATCACATACATAGCATACGATTACTAATAAACATATTATATCTGATAGTTTTCTTTTATCTCTTTTGGGGCCTGAATTTGTGAATAAGTTGTTTGGAAGCGAAGTATGGCGGCTTGAAAGTTGATGAATTTATATACGTTTCTTCATAAAATTACAAAATTTTAGGGTTTAGAGTTGAAATATTGAATCTAAATTTTAAAAATAGTAAGATAAAAGGTAATACTTTATATTTATGACATAATCACATTTTGCTCAAATTACATTTGTTTATTTAGCCCTTTTTCTCGAAAGCTGGTGATGCGAGTTTACAGCCCTTTCGTGGTCTTGGGAAACAAATGTTTTGGCCCTGATGTTGCCCATATATTATAACTCCTTACTTTTCCCATATGGGCTGACCCATGAATAGCCCAAATGGGTTCATCCATTTTTTTTTCTCTTCTGGGCCCCAAATAGGATTTCCTATATGGGCTTGCCCATATTTAAAAGATATATTTCCCACATGATTTTGCCCATATTTATCCCATATATGATTTCCCATAATCTGTCCACAAGGGCTGACCCACAAAGAGCCCTTATGAATGTTCCCATTGCTTGCCCTCAAGGGCCCCAAAACAGGCTAAATCATATGGGCCTGCCCATATTTTGAAAATATGTATCCCACATGTTTTGACCCTTACAGTGCCAATATGTGATGCCCATCCTTCATCCACATGGGCTGTCCCAGAAACTGCCCTTATGGGTCTGCCCAGATTTTTTCTTTTGTGGGCCCCAAATGCACTTACCCATATGGGCATGCCCACACTTTTTAAATAACGTTTCCAAATGTGTTTGCCCAAATAGTACCCATTAGTGACTACCCATATTTTCCCCTTGTGGGCTCCAAATGTGCAAATTTACTAGGGATTGCCCTGTTCTTTCCCTCACGGGTGCCAAATACCCTGACCCACATGTTACCCATATTGGTTTCTCGATCTTTTACCCTTACGGGACCCTTAGAATTAAATTCCATATGGTGTAGCCCATACAGGCCCCATAAGGGTTAAGTGTGGTATGGGCCTGCCCACATGGCCCAAATATTTCACATAAGGGCCCCATAAACTTTGCTACCTGGGACAGAATACACCTTTAATGACCTTTGACACTAAATCCATAAACACCATAAGACCATATCTTATACCAATCCATATGTGCCCAATTATGTTATTTGTGACAGAAAAAGTCTTTCATTTATTTCTTTTTTATCCCAATGACCCCTATCTGACCTTCGACCCCCAAGCAGTGAACACCCTATGTATGAGTGGTGTCACCAGTTATACTGACCAGGTTTGGTTAAAGTCGGCACAACCGTTTGGTAACTAGTAGCATCTTAAAATGTTTCAGAAAAAAGGTAAAAATTACCTTTAATGACCTTTGACCCCTTATCCCTGAACACCCTATAGTCGCTGCCTTATACTAATGTATATGTTCATAGAACAAGGCTGTGCTACCTTTTTTTGTGAAAGAAGTAATCTTTTATATGATTTTTGTTTTTTGACCCAGTGCCTCTTATTTGACCTTTGACCCAAAGTTGTGAACAACACATAAATTGAAGGTGGCACCGGTCCTACTGACCAAGTTTTAATTAAATCGGTCCAGTAGATTGCCACTAGTCTTTCAAAATGTTGCTAGAAAGAAAGAAAGATCTAGATACATTCAATAGAACATGAACCCAGTCATTTTTTTAAGAGATAACCACTGTGACCTTTAACCTCAACACCTGTGAATAATTTTTTAACTATAGGTGAAGAGTAGTTTTTTTTGTTTAGAAGGCCATGTTAAGAATCATGTTAAGAATAATTCCTGGTAAATTCTAGCTCAATTGGACTATTTCGAAAATTTTACCCCGATGCCCCCCCCCCTATGTAACCACTGATGCCAGAGAGGGGTGTAGGGGTGTCACTGGGTCTTAATGATCAAATTTGAAGACCCTACCTTACGCCAATACACATGTTCCCAGGACAAGACTGTGCTATGTAATTTGTGACAGAAGCCTTTTATTCATTTTTGAAAGTTTTTTACTCAATTCTTTATTACATTTAACCCCAAGCAGTTCACACCACATCTATGAGAGGTGTCAACGATTATACTGACCAGGTTTGATTGAAATCGGCACAACCGTTTGGCACTAGTAGCGTTTTCAAATGTTGCAAAAAAAAAAATATAAAAATTACCCCTTAATGACCTTTGACCCTTATCCCTGTACACCCTACAGACTCTGCCTTATGCCAATGTAAATGTACAAAGTACAATACTGTGCTACGTTATTTGTGAGACAAGTGGTCTTTTATTTGATTTTCAGTTTTTGACCCTAATGCCCCTTTTGTGACCTTTGACCCCAAGTCGTGAACAACACATAAATGGGAAGTGGCACGGGTCCTACTGGCCATGTTTTAATTAAATCAGTCCTTTTAAAATGTTGCCAGAAAGAAAGAAAGAACTAGAGATACTATATTCAATAACATTAACCCAGTCATTTTTAAAGATATAACCATTGTGACCTTTAACCTCAACCTGTGAACACCTCATGTTTGGTAGGAGTTCGTCTAATGCAGTTGATCCAATCGATAATTACTATTACAATATATCTGATAATTTTCACTAAAAGTGACCCTTGTGATTTTCGACCTATAGGTAAAAAGTAGTTTTTCGTGTTTAAAAGGTCCTAAGGATCATTCCTGGTAAACTCGAGCTCAATTGGGCTATTTCGAAAATTTTATTCCGATGACCCCTATCTAACCACTGATGCCAGACAAGGGTATAGGAGGTGTCACTGGTTCTTAATGATCAAATATGATTGAATTCGGTTCAATCGTTTACCATTATTATCATTTCGAACATTTGACATATAAACTTTGGCATATGAGGTGAAGAATATTTTTTCGTCTTTAGAAGGTCCTAAGGATCATTCCTGGTAAATTCGAGCTCAATTGGACTATTTTGAAAATTTTACCCTGATGACCCAGACAGGGGTCTAGGAGGTGTCACTGGTTCTTAATGATCAAACTTGATTGAATTCGGTTCAATCGTTTGCCAACATTTTGAACCTTTGATCTATGAACTTTGACATATAGGGTGAAGAGTATTTTTTCGTGTGGATAGAAGGTCATTCCTGGTAAATTTGCGCTCAATTGGGCTATTTTGAAAGTTTAACCCCGATGACCCATATGTGATCCCTGATCCCAGACTTCGGTGTAGGAGGTGTCGCCGGTTCTTAATGACGAAATTTGATTGAATTTGGTCCACTGGTTTGCTATTAGAAGCATTTGGAAATGTTGCTAGAGAGAACAAAATATTAACGCTTTGATGACCTTTGACGGTAAATCACTGAACACCATAAATACCCTCCCTTATGCCAATACATGTGCCCAGGACAAGACTGTGCTATGTTATTTTTGAAAGAAGTCTTTATTTATTTTTTTTGAAATTTTTACCCCAATGATCCATGAGACCTTTGACCCCAAGCAGTGAACACCCCATGTATGAGAGGTGTCACTGGTTATACTGACCAAGTTTGGTTAAAATTGGCACAACCGTTTGGCACTAGTAGCGTTTTGAAATGTTGCCAAAAAAAAAAGATAAAAATTACCCCTTAATGACCTTTGATCTTTTATCCCTGAACACCCTATAGACGCTGCCTTATGCCAATGTATATATGCAAAGGACAAGACTTTGCTACGTTATTTGTGGGACAAGTAGTCTTTTATACGATTTTTGGTTTTTTGACTCTTAGGCCTCTTATGTGGCATTTGACCCCAAGCTGTGAACAACACATAAATGGTAGGTGGCACCGGTCCTACTGACCAAGCTTTAATAAAATCTATAAAGTAGTTTGCCACTAGTAGCCTTTTAAAATGTTGCCAGAAAGAAAGAAGAAATTGTTAAAACTTTCCGCACCACCCTTTATAATTTTGGACAACAATTTCTGAAAATTCCACCACTCTTTAAAAGAATCCTGGAAACAGGGCTGAATG